CATTGTCTCAACCTCCATTAGTAGAACCCAGGGAAAGAGAGGATAAGAATTATTTCATTCACATCTCTTAGGATCTCCTGACCAGGAGCCAACTGCATATTTTCAAGCAGCGAACAATTTCACCTCTAAGAACAATTCAACAAGTATTAGTTTTTGACCCTTAATAACTCTTAATAACACCAATCTCAAACAGAGTAGCCCCTTGACTGTTACGAACAATTTCTATTTCTGTAATCCCATTCCAACAGCAAAGTTTCGACTGTCACCTGTGTGTAGAGAAGAATTTGCTGGGAAGGCAACTGTGCTAGTTATGTACTTCTTATTTTTAAGTCACCCCTCAGAATTGGAACTTATCATCTTTCCAAGGGGCTGTAAAGCATCAACTCTTTGTCATGGCATTCAACAGAAACATTATTGCTTATTTTGTCATCACGTGGGCTTTGTTTTTCAACTCTTGCTCCCCACCCACGATTCTTGGGGCACTTCCAAAGAGAAGGCTTTTATTGTGCAATTGCACTGCCTCATGTACAGAATTTAACAGAAGGAATCCAGACAGTGTCATCTTCCATGTTTTTCCATTCTTTCATAGATCTTTTTCTTACCACAGAAAAAGAAGTAAGGCGGAAAAAACAAAATAGCTGCACAATGTTTTTTTAATTGGTTTCAAGTCTCCCTTGGAGGGAGGAGGAGGGCTATCCATCAAACATCTACAGAGATTTTATGAAAATACAGTAATGCTATTTCTGCTAGCTTGCACTGATATATCCCACTATGCACAGGTATCAACGTTTATTTATGATTTATTTAAAATATTTTTTTTACTCCACCTTTCGCCTTGAAAAGGACCCAAGATGGCTTACAACAATGAAATACAATATTTAAAGTTGAAAACAGTGAGTATACAGTCATGACAAAAATACTGGCACCCTTGCAATTCTGTTGGAAAATACAACCCTTCTCTCCGAAAATTGTTGAAGTAGCAAATGTTTTGGTACTCACATGTTCATTTCTTTGGTTCACGCTGGAACAACATATAAAAACAGATGAGTCAAATCTGATACAATCCCACACAAAAACCCAAAAATGCACTGGCCAAAATTATTGGCACTCTTAACTTAATATTTGGTAGCACCCCCCTTTTTAAGCATGTGATGCTCCTTTTATTTGGATTTAGACACCCCTGTCACAAATAAGAGGTGTGGGCAATGTAGTAATCACACTTGCAACCAGTTAAGATGGAGAAAAATTGACTCAACCTTTGTGTTGTGTGTGACACTGAGAATGGAGAAAAGAATGAAGTGTAAAGAGTTGTCTGTGGATTTCAGAGAAAAAAAGTTGTGGAAAAACATTGACAATCTGAAGGCTATAAGTCCATCTCCAGAGATCTTAATGTTCCTGTGTCCACTGCATGCAACATCATCAAGAGATTTACAGCCCATGCCACTGTAGCTAACCTCCCTGGACGTGGACGGATGAGCAAAATTACTGAAAAATTACAACAAAGAATTGTTTGCATGGTGGATACTTCCCAACAAATTCAAGCTGATCTACAGACACAGGGTACAACAGTGTCAGCTTGCACTATCTGTCGCCATCTGAATGAAAAGGGATGCTATGGTAGGAGACCCAGGAGGACGCCACTGCTGATACAAAGGCATAAAAAGCAAGACTGGAGTGTGCCAAAACTTATGTGACAAAGCCACAGTCCTTCTGGGAGAACATACTGTGGACAGATGAGACAAAAGTGGAGCTTTTTGGTCAAGGACATCATGGCACTGTTTACAGAAAAAGAAATGAGGCATTCAAAGAAAAGAACACAGTCCCTACGGTCAAACATGGTGGAGTTTCAAAGATGTTTTGAAGTTGCTTTGCTGCTTCTGGCAATTGGATGCCTTGACTGTGTGAACGGTATCATGAAATCTGATGATAACCAAAGAATTTTGGGGTGCAACGTAGTGGCCAGTGTCAGAAAACTGCCTCTCCACCAGAGGTCATGGGTCTTCCAGCAGGACAATGACACCTTTGGAGAGATCTCAAAACAAGAATTGGGAGAAGGCATCCTTCAAATCTGAAAGCCCTGGAGCAGCCTGCAGAAGAAGAGTGGTCCAAAATTCCAGTAGAGAGGTGTAAGAAACTCATTCATGGTTACAGGAAGCGATTGATTTCAGTTATTGTTTCCAAAAGGGATGCTACTAAATATTAAGTTAAGGGTGTCAATAATTTTGGCTAGTGTATATTTGGGTTTCTGTGTGGAATTGTTTCAGATTTGACTTTTCTTTTGTTTTTTGTGCTGTTCCAACGCAAAACAAAGAAATGAACATGTGAGTACCAAAACATTTGCAACTGAGAGAAGGGTTGTATTTTCCAACAGAATTGCAAGGGTGCCAGTATTTTTGGCCATGACCGTACAACAGTGGTTAACATCAGAGATGGGGTATTCGTATTTGTATATGAATACCTCCCCACATTTGAAGATAACGAAGGTCTGGCCCCCTGGGGCTGACTGTCCACTCACAATTCGGCTGCTGCCACAGGCTCTGCGCTACTTTCCTATCGTTCTGGAGCTCCTAGTGGATTAGCTACTCCTGGCAAGATCCAGGATGACATGCCTGTCTGCCAGGTCGAAGAGTGGGTTCCGGAGAGATAGGAAGGGAGCACGGAGTCCGCAGCAGCAGCGGAATGGTGAGTGGACAGTCTGGCCCCAGGGGGCCGGACCCTCGTTATGTCCACCTGTGGGAGGCTGTGTATACAAATACGAATGCCCCCATCTGTAGTTAACATCATTACAAAAGCGATACTTAAACATTATGAACAATGAATAAAGAGGCAACTTACATCAATCAACAGGCAATATTAAGGCAAAGATCAATAAGTATGCAAAAGAATTTAAATGTCACTTTGAGAGGAAAACACAAGTAGTACTAAACAATCCAGTCAAAGCAGTAATGCATACCAATCTATCTAAAACAGCACTTTAAATTGTGCCCGATAACTGATCAGCAGCCAGCAGAGCTTCTGTAACAGAGGGTTATGTGATCCCTGTAGCCACATTGGCAGTAAGACTTCTCATTATAATCTGTAGGTGAGAAAACCGTGTATCTGGAACAGCTGATAAATCTCTGGGCAATGCCTTGAAGACTGAGGAGCATATTTGATGCCCATTTTTTTAACAATAGCAACAACCAGGACACCCCATCTGAAACAGTATTGTTAGAACAGAAAAAAGCTGGGGGTAATTAGGAGAAGTTTTGTGTGAAATGATTGTGAGATCCCCCCCCCCATTCTGGCATCCAAAATATATCCATCAGCACAACATTTTGTAATTTGAGGTCTATACAGTATACAACTGGTCCTGCACAGCTCTCTCAATTCTAGAAAAAAAGGTGGATCTCGTAAGCCTTGATTCCACCCATTCAGGCTGTATTATGAGACATGTAAGGCGAGTCCCCAGTGGTCACGGATACACATGGGCATCTTAATTTGTAAAAATGTGTGGGACATTTTTGTACACATACAAGCTATGTAAATGCCATCATTAACTCAAAATATCCAAAAGAAGTAATTATTATCTGGCCACCAAATAGACCAAGATTGGAGGGGTTATGGACCTTCAGAGGTTGCTGGACTATCACTCCCTGTTGGCCCCGAGCTAGAAGGGCATGATATCGGGAGTTGCAGTCCTCCCAAATCTGGGGATCCACTCCCACACACACCCGCTTGTGAAGTAAAAACTGGTGCCTGAGTTCCCCCCCCCCCATTTTTTTTCTTCAGTGGTGTTACGTTTCGTCTGTCAGCCTGAAGGTACAGATTGACATATGACTTGAGAGAGAGAGAGAGAGACGAGCTTCGAATAAATAAACCGGAGAAAACCTTCCACGGGTTCTCTCTCTCTCTCGCCCTTAATGCCGCCTCCGTGAGTTTTCCGGGAAGGTAGCCATGTTGCAGCTAAAGTAACAAGCAGTTTTTGGGTACGTTGAAGACGAAAACCTTTTATTAAATTTATTGTGTATAATCTTTTGTGAGCTGTATACTACCCCCCCCCCGCCACCGCCGCGCTTCTGGCGCCTTCTTCACCCATCCGAAGGAGGCGGATACGGGCCACCAATTCCGCGGGTAACAACACCGCCACTTGTTCTTACGTCTTAAAAGGTAACCCACGATTCTTTGCTGTTTTCAGTCACGGAGGGTCCTTGTTCCCCCAGCCCCTCGTTTAAGCAAACGTCGGAAAAGAGGCGATGCGGGCGCATAGTTTTCCAAGGAAGGAGATGGCGCACCCCTCCTCTTTCAACGACACTTGGGGGGGGAAGGCGCAGACGGCAGAGCGGAGACGTCGACGCGGGCGTCGAGGCTTGCGCCTGTGCTCCAAAAAGGAGGCATTGGAAAGTGTGTGTGTGTGTGTGTATGTGTAGGTGGGAGTGACCTATATCGGTGAATGCCAGCTCGAACTCCGGAGCTCGAAAGAGACTTTTATTTATTTTATTTATTTATTTGATTTGTATCCCGCCCATCTGGTCTCTACAGTGTAGCGTCTACACGACCACTCTAGGCGGCTAGAACAGACCCCCAACGACGGAGAAGGGAGGCGACACAGAGCTTCTAGCCGAGGTGTTTTACGTGCGAAGACTGGTCGGGAGGCAGCGCCCGCGCCCCTTTTCTTTCGCGCCTGAGGCGCCGCCGCCGCCTCTGCGACGCCTCCTCCTTCTCCTCCTCCTCCTCCTGGACACCCTCCCTCCCTCCTCTGTCTGCTCCCTCAAGCCTTCCGCTCCGTGGCGAGCGGGCGGGGGAGGCTGCCTGCCCGTCGCTCCTACAGCCTGTGGACGAACTCCTTCTCCTCCTCCTCCTCTTCGCCGTGATTGGAATCGTCCGAACGCTCGCTCCCGCGCTCTTTTCCTCCGCCAACTTCGGGCGGGCGGGCGCGCGCGTTCGCGGGAGAGACTCGCGGGGGCGCGCCGCGAAGGGCGGGCAGGCGGTCGTGGGGGGGGGAACGACGACGGTTGGCTGACTGACTGACTGACTGACTGGCCTTGGCGTCGAGTGGAGCGAAGGGAGGCGGCGAGGCCTGCGCTGTCTGGGCACCTGGGATTTCTTTCTGCCTCTTTCCCACCCCCTCCCCTCCCTCCCCGCGCTCTTTCTCTCTTTCGTGGGCCCTCTCTTCTCCCCGAGAGCTTCGAGGCTCGGCGTCTTGCTGAAGCGGAGGAGGAGGAGGAGGAGGAACGTCGCTGGCCAGGCCGAGGCGGGGAGGTGGTTTATTCCTCCTTTCAAAGTCCCGTCTTCCCCCAAAACCCAGCCGCACCCCCCGGGGGAAAAAAAACCAAGATACCTCAAGACTCCTCACGGCGCGCACCGACAACACGCACACACACACACACACAAAGGACGATGAAGGGCCCCGGCGACGGGTAAGCAGGGTGGGGACGGTGGGAGGTGGGGGGTGAGGGGGAAGGAAAGGTAAGTCAATGGCGGCAGGCAGGCAGGCATGGATCCCCTTTACGGCCTCCTTGAAATCTTCCACAGTTGCCTGGTAGGAGATTTCACACACACACACCCGCCATATCTTCGAACAAGGCAAACGAGGCCTGGCTGATGACACGAATGTAAAACTTGCCTCCCCTTTGAAATTAAGAACGGGGTGGTGGTTTGGGAGGAGGAGGAGGAGGAGGTCTTGCTCGGCGGCCTTCGCCTGTTCAGCTCGGGATTGACTTTCGGCTAAAGTGGCGAAGAATCCGGCTAGTTTTCAGCCCTTCCCTTTTCCCTTCAGTTGTGAGGAAAAGGGGACTTACTTGTCCGTTCCCAGAGCCCTTGGTGTTGTTGCTCGAAGGGCAGCAACAACACACCCCTCCCCCCAATTCTTTACGAGCATTTCCAATTCTTTTACTTTACAATCGAATTAGCCGAATAACCCGATCGGTTACTTATTCGGACAGTGTCCAGAGTTGCACTGCTTTCCTGAAGAAAGAGGGGAGGAGGAGGAGGAGGAGGAGCCCCTTGGTACTTGTTTCCAAAATCAGTCATAGGACTGATGCCTCTGGTAAAGTGGGATGCAGCCCTCGGAAACGTATGTCAAATAAAAGAAGATTGCATATTCTTTATGGTTGTTTTGTTAGTAACTCACTGTGATTAAGTTACCTTATCTGTCCCTTTTCTGGTCTGGGTTTAGGGTTGTTGTTGTTTATGTTTGGACTAGGTGGTATTGCTTATACTGTACAGAGGAGGAGCCCTTCATTTGTAAAGTAACTTTTTAATTTAAAAAATATTTAATATCCTTTCTACTACACCCATCAATGTAAGCAATAAATATTAAAGGAACTGATAGGTCTTGTAATTAGGTGCATATATTAGACTACAGTAGTGTGATGTGCAGTGTTTTTGGCAGTGTGTTCATTATTTAAAAGGGCAATCTAGTATTGTAGTTGCCCCTAAGCTCACTCAACTTTGCAGTCAAATTAATAAAATCTGTTCCTCGGTGATATATTTAGGAGGTCACTTCCAGTCTTTTAGAAAGTATTATGTCTAAATGTTTCTGGATACATCGGAGGTTTATATTTCAGTGTTGTGGTTGGCATGCTTGTTTTCTGCTGTCGTATGTCCAAGGTAAATTAGCTTTGATGATGTGATGTGATTAGCTAAGATGAAAACAAGGTAAATCAGCTTTAATCAATTCAGAATATCCATTAAAATGCCCATTAGAATAATCAAATGACTATATGACTCATTCCCATATAAGGAGAATTGTCTGGTTGACAAATAATGTAGGTGTTAGAGATGGCTCTTGTAGATTGTACTGAATGGCAGTGCTGTGTGTTCCACCATTCAGTGGAAAAAATTGTTTCTGACCATGTGTGAAATCATGGGCCATCAACCTCCTGCGTGGATTCCAGAAAGGGGTCAGGAAGTGGGAAGTTGTGATACACCTGGGCAGTTGCAGAAGGGCCCTATGATTGACTTTCTGTGCTCTTTTGCTTCTCTTGTTTATTATGTGCTCACTAACTAGAGGAACAAGTCACTTAGGTGTAAGGGTTACTGCAGAAGGCACAAAATGGACTTGGCCTGCAACCTGCTTGCTATAGTTGTTTTGCCTATCGCTATATCATTGTTTCTAATGTTTTATTTTAAAAAGCAAAATATGCTGTTTATATACTTCCCCATAGCACTTAAAGCACTCTCTGGTGGGTTTGCATGTTAATTATGAGGCTACACATTCCCCCCGTGCAAGCTGGGTACTCATTTTACCAACCTCAGAAGGATGGAAGGTTGAGTGAACCCTGAGCTAGCTACCTAGGATTGAACCCTGTGTTGTGAGCAATAGTTTCGGCTGCAGGACAGCAGTTTAACTACTTTACCACAAGGCTCTGTACTGTGTACTAATGTGTAATAAACAAGTGGGTCCTAGATCAAATCATGCCTGAACTATCTCTGGAGGCAAAAATGTTGAAACTGGAGCTGCCCTACTTTGGGCACATGAGAAGGCAAGAGTCTTTGGGAAAGGCAGTAATCTTGGGAAAAGTGGAAGGCAACAGGAAAAGAGGAAGACCAAATATGAGCTGGACAGACTTAACAAAGCCATAGGATTGAGTACAAGAGCTGAGCAGGGCTGTTGAAGACAAAAAAGATTTCTCATTCATACATGGGGACGTGGTGGCGCTGTGGGTTAAACCGCAGAAGCCTCTGTGCTGCAAGGTCAGAAGACCAGCAGTTGTAAGATCAAATCCATGCGACGGAGTGAGTTCCCTTCGCTTGTCCCAGCTCCTCCCAACCTAGCAGTTAGAAAAATGTAAAAATGCAAGTAGATAAATAGGTACCACCTCGGTGGGAAGGTAACAGCATTTTATGTCTAGTCGCGCTGGCAACGTGACCATGGAAACTGTCTTTGAGCAAACGCTGGCTCTACAGTTTGGAAATGGGGATGACCACCGCACCCTAGAGTCAGACACAACTTGACTAAATGTCAAGGGGAACCTTTACCTTTACCATTCATACATACATCAGAGGTGACTTGACATACAACACCACCAATCTGTAATGAAAAGATTGTTCTTCAGTTTGTTAGCAAGACATAGGAGACGTTAGTGGATACATTATTTGACTTAGAAATTGTTACACTGTAGTTTGGCGACTGAGTTGTTACTGTACCAAAAGTCTGTCCTGGCTACCCTATAATAGGGGAATGCTAATTAATTTGTTTCTTTTTAATATTTGTGTACTTATTGTTTTTAGCTTTAATGTTGCCTTTTAATGATGTAAGCTGCCTCCTTGTTCTTAGCTTTAAATATTGTCTTTCAGTGATGTAAGCTGCATTGGATTCTTTTTAAGGAGAAACGTGGGGTTAAAATATTTTAAATCAATAAAATAATGCAGGATTGAGGAAACCATTGAAGTTAAGAAAGGTAATAAAGCCGTTGGTTAAACTTGTATCCTGTCTTTATTGGAAAACAACATTTTTACTTCAGAACAAACCTGTGCAAAAATACTTTTTAAAATAATGTGCTTTTTCTGGATGAAAGTTTGAATAGTTGTCTGTTAAATGCATAGTTGGAGTGAATGACACATGTCAAGAGCATTCATGTGCATTAATTTCACTTGTGTGATTTGGAAATACCTAATTAATGTAAGTGCTGTTTACTTACAAGTAAGTTAAGAACATGCACCTCATCCTATTTCAGACAGAGCAGGTAGCTGGAAGATTAGAACATTAAATTAAATAAACTATCTAGTATTGGAGGGCCATGCGTTTCACTCTCCCAGAAGCTTTTATTTGGCATTGTGAGAGCTTGTGTTCCTGGAACTTATAAAAATTTGCAGCTAAGTTACTTCAATATGATAATTCTTTTGATTATGTAGTTCTGAAAGCATGATTTGTGGATAGCTAAACAACAGCTTTCTTCCTGACAGTCAGTGGGCAAAAGTCTTGCATTACCTTATAATTCTTATATTTTAATAGTATACTTACTCTGTGCAAGTGGATGGCTTTACAGCTAGAACAGCGGTACCCACACTTAATATAAATATATCAGCAGAGGATTTGCATATAGAAATTGGCGCAAACTACTACACAGTTTGTTTCCCAGCCGAACAGGTGATCCGTGGTTCTGCACACCGCCTCCTCCAGTAGCCATCCATGCTGCAGCAGTGCCCAGAAGAGGCAGAGTAGGACAGTGCTGCTGAATGGATGCCCACTGAGAGAATGGGGAACCAAACTGTGGATCAGTTGTTTGGCCAGAAGAGGAACTGCTCTGTACACCCAAACCAGCAGTTCTTACCCATCTTTATTTGCATAGTTCATTTGCTCCAAGAACTGTAGAGAGGGGGAAAATGTGATGGGAGATGCCACAAAGAGGACTTAGCATGCTTAATGAGGCACAGGATGCTGTCTAACTGCTGGAGGAAAAAGTGAAAAACTGGTGGAGTAAGAATGGGAGTATTGTGGAAGGTGGCATGAAGCTCTAAAATCCTGAGCAGGAGCACTGTACACTGAATTTTTTTAAGTTGTTTATTTGCTCTTTCGTTATTTCTTTCATCTGAAACTTGTTTTCATGTTGGAAGGCTTTTATAGAGATATTAATGTAGGAATATTTGGTTCTGGTACTCTGGGAAACAGCTAGTTTTTCAAGAATAAGTTACATTTTCTCAATTTATAAAAATGGATTGTAGCCAACTGTTCATCTGCAGAAAAGACTGTACTAACAAAATGGACCACTCTTTCTCAGTGGTCCCCATGGTTAATAAGAGTTTTGTAGAAACAACGGATTGAAGAAGAAATCAGACTAAACAAGGTTTGTGAAAGATTTTTGTCTAGCAGAATATTGAGTTTACGACCCGACTTGCGAACAATTCGAGTTACGAACCTGCCCTATAGGGAAAGTAAGGACTCGACATGCGAACTTCCCTCGAGTTACGAACAGGGAAAAAAGTCCCCCCTCCCTCCCCTTAGAGGCTTCTGGAGGGGGGGAAAAGGGTCAGAAACTTAAAAATAAATACTGTACTGTTAAATAAAGTCACTTACCAGGCCTTGGTAGCCCCCAAACCACAGGAAAAAGAGCAGGAAAGAGCTAAAAGCCGACACCCAGAAAGAGCCTGGCAGCCATTTTGTGGTTTTCCCGCCTAACAGCTGATCGGCTGGCTCTGAGCAGGCTTCCGGAGGCTTGCTCAGCACCTAAAAAGCCTGCCTGAGTGCCTTTGTGCTGAAAAAATCAGCACAACATGCTTTAAAACATTATTTAAAATTGGCTTCGTTTTTTAAAAAAAGAGTTCTAAAGTGCTGCCTTTAGTGTTCCCTGCCTTCCCTGAACCTAAGGGGGAAAAAGAAAGAAAATATCCCCCTCTAGTGGCAGAAGGCAGAATAGCAGCTTCCCATTAGTTTCTATGGACAGAAAAGAGCAGATACGGATTAAATGGTTTTCAA